ACACATCATCTGGAAAACTTGGGTTCTCTGTTCTAGGCCCTGGAGAACCACTGAAGGGCTCAGAGGAGGTACACAAGATCGTCCAGCTGACACTGCAGATCCCACACAACACCTGTGTAGAGAATGGATTTGAGAAAAACCAAACTCTTGGCACAAAGCTCTGTTTGGAAGCTCCTGCAGCCCCATGAGATGCTAGGTAACCGTCTGCCCTGGAACAGGTGGCTCCAGGAATAGAGAAGACGGCCGACTGCACAAGTATAAATGACTGACAGAGAGGGAGCTTGAGAAGGAGCATGAGATGTGGAGGACTGGATGAAGAGCAACCCTAACTGAGACAAAAAATGCCAAGGGACAAGATGACGCTTTTGAAGTAGTCAAGGATTAGAGAAGAGCCATAATGTGTACACGGACCACGGGGTCAGAAAAAAGGAGGATCCAGAGGTAGAGACTTCGGGGTGGAGTCCCAGCTCATTACCCAAGGCCTGCAGGCCTCCCTCGTCTTGTAAAATGGGAAAACCAGCCAGGTGCTGTGGCTCACACCTATAATCCCAGCACTCTGGGAGGTCGAGGTAGGTAGATTGCCTGAGCTCAGGAGTTTGAGACCAGCCTGAGCAAGAGCAAAACCTCATCTCTAAAACTAGCTAGGCGCCGTGGCAGGCACCTATAGTCCAACTACTCGGGAGGCTAAAGAAAGAGGATCACTGGAGCCCAGGAGTTTGAGGTTGCTGTGAGCTAGCTATGACACCACAGCACTCTTCCAATAGCAACAAAGTGAAACTCTGTCTCCAAAAATAATTTTAAAAACATGTGAAAACCTACTCTTGCCAAGACTTTTAGGATGAAGGCACAGAGATCCCACCCAAGGAACAGTCACTCTCATTATTGACATTGTTTTGTTTGTTTGTTTGTTTGTTTTGAGACAGAGTCTATGCCACTCTTGGTAGAGTGCCGTGGCATCACAGCTCACAGCAACCTGAAACTCTATGGGTTCAAGTGATTCTCTTGCCTTAGCCTCCCAAGTAGCTGGGACTATAGGTGCCTGACACAATACCTGGCTATGTTGTTCTTTTTTTTTTAAGAGAGGAGGTCTCACTGTTGCTCAGGCTGGTCTCGAACCTGTGAGCTCAGGTGATCCACCTGCCTCAGCCACCCCGAGTGCTGGGATTACAGGCGTGAGCCACTGTACGCGGCCTTGACAGTGTTTTTTGTTGATATCATTCTGGGTAGAAAAATTTTATATATATATATATGTAGAATATTTTTTGTGACAGGTCCTATTACATGTGTCAACTTGATTATGCCACCACACCCAGATATGTGGCCAAACACTAGTTTAGATGTCACCATGAAGGTATTTTTTAAAATAATGAGATTAACATTAAGGCAGTAGATTTTTTTTGAGACAGAGTCTCACTGTGTTGCCCTTGGAAGAGTGCCATGGCGTCATAGCTCACAGCAACTTCCAACTCTTGGGCTTAAGCGATTCTCTTGTCTCAGCCTACCAAATAGCTGGGACTACAGGCACCTACCACAGCCCGGCTATTTTTTGTTCCAGTTGTTATTTTTGTTTAGCAGGCCTGGGCCACGTTTGAGCCTGCTAACCTCGGTGTATGTGGCTGGC